TTGCATAAAACACAGACCTAGCCTTGGAACGTTTTTGCTTGAGTCTCATGTTTAATTTTCAATTTGAAAAATCTTCTCAACACTTCCCAGATCCAAAGTAAAAACAATGCTGTGTTTCTTTTGAATTTATGATCGATCAGTCTCAATCTGTTTCTCCAACCACATTCTTCCCAAGAAATTTGGAAAATTTCCTTTTGACAACATGCAAGCCCAAATTTTCAGACTGTTACTTTGGCTGTGTATGTTTGTTGTGCAGTTTGGGGATTACAGTGCAATCTGATTCAGTTGCTTCTGATTCGCATTCAGATATCAATGAAATCAACTGCTCTGGTGTCCCCCTCCATTTTATTCCCAGTTTGCCATTACATAAGGGAGTGACCCAGTGTAAGTGGCTGTTGCTGGCGATGGCCAGTATGTTTAATAATAGCTCCTCTTATCACACCCGAGTCTGATTTCTGAAGAAGGGTCCCGACCCGAAACATCAGCTTTCCTGCTCCTCTGGTGCTACCTGGCCTGCTGTGTTCATCCAGCTCCACACCTTGTTATCTCAGACTCTAGCATTGGCAGTTCATACTATCTCTCACCTGAGTCTGGGCTTTTCTCATGCCTTTTTGTACTGTGTAGATTTTCTTCCTATTCGTTTGGTTTCTGTACTTTTTGTATGTTGTTCATGGTTCTTCCTCAAACACACCTGTTCAAGATGTTTTTTTGCCACAGTTTCTGCATACAGTTTCTTTATACTAGTAAGGTGCTGATGCCTTTTCCAAATTGGCAATTTTGAGTCTGCATTGGTACTTGTTTCAGCCACAGTTTTTGTGAATTTCATTCTTTGAGCTTAATTGTTGGGCTTCTGTGGCTGTTAATTCCTTAGAGATTGCTATTGCCAAATGCTTTCTTTAAGTCAAGATTCCTTTCAATTGTAATCTCCTTCTATATTGCTTCACATCTTAAACCACACACCAGTTTGTCTCTGATAGCATCATTTAAGTTGTCTTTGCAAAATTCTACTAACTTTAAAATTGCTGTGGGGGAGATAGTCATAGATTCGCCATTATGCTGGTTGTGTTTGTGATTGCTAAATGGTGCCAATCCCTGTAAATGATTCTGTATTTGTTTTCTTACAGTTTTGGAGCCCAGATTTCTGAAGAGGTTAAATGTTTTTCTCTCTGTGATACCCTAGAATGCAGGGACAACTATATCCACTCCATTACTAGCTTGAACAAAATAATGGAATCTCTCCATTATAGGAGTTCCAGTTCTCTCTCCCCACAGACCTATGGCACCAAAATTTCCTGCCATTTTTAAAATGGGAATGGCCTGCATAGCACGATGTACCACAAGAATGTTGGCACTGCCTTTTCCCCCTTTATTGGAACAAGGTATTCCTGAGGCTGCCTGTTTCTTTGAGTCTACACCTCTGTTTCCGTCATTCAGTGTTCCTTCAAGATGGATCACACAGCAAGCTTCTGCTGCACTGGTCACCTCTTCAATGAAGCTATTTCCTCCTTTCCTGACTGTATCTGCTTCAATGCAGCAATTGTATCTTTTTGATTTTCTTTTTATTCAAGTACCTCTGATCTGCAGTGGTTTTTTAAAAATGCTAATCAATAGATTGGCCCAGTAGATATCAAAGCAGTTTTAATTCTCATCACCAATTTTCTGTTTGTATTAAGTTCCAACAAGGGCCAGGAGATCAAAGTATGAAACAGCAGGAGCTTTATTATGGGAATGTTCAATTTACAGGCAGCAAGATTAGAGAAAATGTGCATCTCCACCCAAAAGCAGCTGATTTACAATATGATTGGACCCTTAAATTGACAGTCCACTATACTTGCACAAATGCTCAACATTTATGGTTGAATTTAATGCATTTTTGAGGAAAATGTGGGTAAAATGCATCAACCTGCACTTGAAATAGGCTGAGCTTTCACAGCCCTTTGGGGAACGGAGTCCCAAAGATTCAACATCCTCTGAGTGGGGGGAAAAAAATTCTCCTTATTTCAGCTCTAAATGGTATCTCCCTTTTTATTTTTAAATTGTGCATTCTCACTCTGCCCTGAATTAGGGGGAGCATCTTGCCTGCTGTTTAAGATTTCCAACTTTGCTTTTTTTCAAGGAAATGTTTAAAGCTAGTGTCAGTAAAAGTAATTGCTAAATGTCCATTATTACTAAAATTCCTGATTCATTCCCCTTTTTAGAGAAGGAAACCTTCTTGCCTTGTTTGGTTTGTGACTACAGTTACACCTGCACGGCTGACAGCTTTCTGCATTCTGAACTGGCCTCGTAAGGCAGATGTCAAGACTACCACTCCAAAGAAGGGTCAATGGACCAAAATGTTAACTCTGCTTTCTCTCCAGGGTGCTGCCAAACCTGATGTGGTTTTTTTTTCCAGCAATTTTTCTGTTACAGGTTTCCAACATCTGCAACTATGTGTCTTATCAATCTAGCAAACTCCTCTGATTTGCTGCCAGTGCATTGACATTGCTCCTTAGAGGCCAAAATTGTACACCATTGGTCTGTCTAATGCCCTGTACACCTGAAGCATAACATCCTTAGCTTTTTACGTTCAATTCCTCACATAATAAAGGATAGCATCCCGTTAGCCTCCTTGATTTAGGTGCTGTACCTTTTTATATTTGTTATTCATGTGTTTGAACATTATAAATCTTTCTGCACCTCAATTCTCTGGACATACTCATCCTTCCTGTCAAAGTGAGCAGCCTCACAATTTACAACAGTCTACTCTGTGTGCTAGACTTCTGTGCACTCACTCAACTTATCTATACCCATCTACAACGTTTTGTCTTTGCAACATACTTGGCTACTTAATGTCATCTGGAAATTTGGTGTCCATGCTTTCTCCCCTTGTCTAAATAATTTAATTAAATTGTAAAATGTTGAGGTCACAGGACTGACCCTGTAGGACTCCATGCTTCATATTCTGCTAATTTTGCAGTTCCATTTATATTCATGGTGTTCTGTCAGCCAATCTTCTGCCCATGCTGAGATGTCACCTCCAATACTGAGCTTTTATTTTCCACAATAAACGTTGATGCTATCAAATCCATAGGCTCCCCTTTATTTTTGGTGAATGATTGTATGATTGTAATTATTCCTTCAAGGAACTCCAATAAATTGGCTAAGCATGATTTCCCTTTGAAACAATACTGACTCTCCCCAGTTGCCTTGTTTGCTATGTGTGCAGCCGTAATCTCTTTAATCAGTTCTAATACTGTTTTCATGACCGATTTCAAGCTAACTGGCTCATAATTCTCTCTTCTGCCTGCCTCCACTCTCTCTTGAAAGAGTGGTTATATTTCCTATTACCCAGTTGCATGAAACCTTCAGGAATTTTTGGACAATCAGGGACCTAAGGGGCATCTCTTTCATGCCGAGAGAATGAGCTGCCAGAGGAAATGGTGGAGGCTAATACAATTATCTATCCAGATGCCTTTTAAATGTTGTAAATTAATAGAAAGGGTATAGAAGGATATGGGCCAAATGCTGGCAAATAGAACTAGATTTATCTAGGATATCTGGTCGCCATGGACGAATTGGACCAAAGAGGGTATCTCCATGCTGCATACCCTGACCCTCTGACCTTGACTACCTCATTAACAGCCCACTTCAGGACCACAGAATGAAATCCATCTGGACCCAGTCACTGCTCCATCAGTTTGCTTAGTTCCACTTTCTTTGATTTTAATTTTGCCAAGTTCCTCTCTCCCTTTACCACCTGATTTATGACGACTACTGGAAAGTTTTTCTTCTATTCCCTATAGGGAAGACAAGCAAAAGATTTGGTTAGTTCATCTGTTTCTTTATCTATTACTAACTCCATTCTCACTCACTTGAGACAATATGGGCCTTTCAAGAGGGGTTTGTTCTGTCCTCTTTCACTTAACCAGACATGTTGTCAATCTGGTGTGGAGGTGTCTGCTCCATGGAAAGCAGAGTAGAAATAGCGTAGTGGGGTTAAAATTGTATCAGATAGTAGGAACTGCAGATGCTGGAGAATCTGAGATAACAAGGTGTAGAGCTGGATGAACACAGCAGGCCAATAGCGTAGTCTCTTATCTAGCTTTTTGAAAAAAAAAGCGTGAATGGGCAAAGACAAGGTCACACAGACCCAGGATTTTAGTTCTGCTTTTTGTTGAAGTTGGGAGTTTTGAAGTTGAAGCTTCTAGATATAGCTGTCTCTCTCTGCTGCTGGATTCATTCTGTCAGTGGTCCTTCTCCTGGACTGAAGGAGATAGCAAGTGAGGAAAATCTGTTTTGCTGAATTTGCCGTTTGGCAATGTGTGTTTATGGGATGCAGCTCGATTTGAGTAGCTAAACATTATTTTGTTAAGTCTGTCGATAGTTAAAATTATGCCAGTTCTTCCTTGTATTTTAACTGTGGTGTAAGGAAAAGAACTTTTGCTTAAAGCAACGTAGCTTGACCAATCAAATCACATCTGGAACAGAGTGCCTTACACTTTGTCTTTAAGGTAAATGTAAGGGTCTAGGCTATCTCCTTGCCATGTTTTGAGGGGGTTTGGTCTGACCGATAACGCATTAGAAGACCAATGTTCAGTTTAATTTATTCCTTTATAAATACTTCTAGAAACTCTTGCTACCCATTTTTGCATCTTGGCCAACTTCTTTTCATACAGGCTAGCTACAGCCATTATTACTGAAAACTAATCCCATCTCTGGTTTGTGTTTGGAGGAACAAAAGCTGAAGCTGCCCCCAGTAAATCAAAACTTGCAGCAGTAACCTGATTCTTTTACCCATTTCAAGCTGACTGTATATACAAAACAGGTTGCTGAATTCTAATAAATTTGATGCATGTGTCATACTTAATGTGTTAAGCTTTTCATTTTGCAGTGGGCATTTACTGTGAATTTACTTCAAATTGAACATTTGGAAATATCATTTGGTCTTGGGTATAAACTGCTTTGTAGCTCTGCATTTCAATATTTCTGATGGTGTTAAAGTTTTTTTAATTCTTTTTCAGCACTTCGCTATTCTTGAAAAGGAGAAAATTGATTTAAGTGATGAAAAAGAAGCTTTAAACCAATATCTTCAAGAACAGTCCAAGATTATTGAAGGTATTTTTAATAAAATTGTCTTAAATTTATTGGTTTCTTTCTATTAGTTTCAGTTCTAATCACTATTTAAGTAAAGCAACATTAGTTTTAAGGTCTCGATATTTGACAGATTGAATGCTGTACTCACCAGGTATGAATTTCTTGGTTTAAAAGGTGCAAAGCTAGAAAGTGATGCAGTCTATTCTACTTCCACAGGTAGAGAACATTTAGTCAAAGGAACACTTTCTCCACCTAATCTATGTAAGCGATCAGGTAGTGAACAAATGCTCATCCCAATAATAAAGCAATTTTGAATTCCCTCTGTTCTGATGAGCCCTAGTCAGCCTCGCTGGGAGAGACTTGCATTCTCTACAGTCAGCACAGGAATTTGATTGGGATTTTGTTTTGTATCCACTTATTCATTTGAATGCATTCTGAAGGCAGCATGGCCAAAACTGCACATAGTATTCCATTGCATTGGTCGCTGGCAGAATGAAATAATTACAGCAGCTTATTGTTTATTTCTATTATAAACAAAAATTTAGAATAAACATGTCAAGATGTGATACTGTAAAACAGGCTGAATTAGACTGCAGAGATAGGAACTGCCGATGCTGGAGAATCTGAGACAAGGTGTAGAGCTGGATGAACACAGGCCAAGCAGCATCAGAGGAGCAGGAAAGCTGACATTTCGGGTCTAGGCCCTTCAGAAATGGGGGAGGGGAAGGGGATTCTGAAATAGATAGAGAGGGGGAGGCAGATAGAAGATGGATAAAGGAGAAGATGGGTGGAGAGGAGACAGACAGGTCAAGGAGGCAGGGTTGGAGCCAGTAAAGGTGAGTGTAGGTGGGGAGTTAGGGAGGGGATAGGTCAGTCCAGGGAGGACGGACAGGTCAAGGGGGCGGGATGAGGCTAGTTGGTGGGAGATGGGGGTGGGGCTTGAGTTGGGAGGAGGGGATAGGTGGGAGGACAGGTTAGGGAGGCGGGTACGTGCTGGGATGGTTTTGAGATGTGGTCGGGGGAGGGGGGATTTTGAAGCTTGTGAAGTCCACATTGATACCATTGGGCTGCAGGGTTTCCAAGGGAAATATGAGGTGCTGTTCCTGCAACCTTCAGGTGGCATCGTTGTGGCACTGCAGGAGGCCCAGGATGGACATGTCGTCCAAGGAGTGGGAGGGGGAGTTGAAATGGTTCATGACTGGGAGGTGCAGTCGTTTGTCGCGAACCGAGCGTAGGTGTTCCGCAAAGTAGTTTCCAAGCCTCCGCTTAGTTTCCCTGATGTAGAGGAGGCCACATCGGGAACAGCGGATACAGTATACCGCATTAGCAAATGTGCAGGTGAACATCTGTGATGTGGAAGGTCTTCTTGGGGCCTGGGATGGGGGTGAGGGGGGAGGTGTAGGGGCAGGTGTAGCACTTCCTGCGGTTGCAGGGAAAAGTGCCAGGGGTGGTGGGGAGTGTGGAGCTGACAAGGGAGTCACGGAGAGAGTGGTCCCTCCGAAAAGCAGATAAGGGTGGGGAGAGAAAAATGTCGTTGGTACTCCCCACCACACCCAGCACTTTAAGTGCTAAAGATGTTCACAGATGTTCACCTGCACATTTGCTAATGCGGTATACTGTATCCGCTGTTCCCGATGTGGCCTCCTCTACATCAGGGAAACTAAGCGGAGGCTTGGAGACTACTTTGCGGAACACCTACGCTCGGTTCGCGACAAACGACTGCACCTCCCAGTCATGAACCATTTCAACTCCCCCTCCCACTCCTTGGACGACATGTCCATCCTGGGCCTCCTGCAGTGCCACAACGATGCCACCTGAAGGTTGCAGGAACAGCACCTCATATATTTCCCTTGGGAACCCTGCAGCCCAATGGTATCAATGTGGACTTCACAAGCTTCAAAATCTCCCCTCCCCTGACCGCATCCCAAAACCGTCCAAGCTCGTACCCGCCTCCCTAACCTGTCCTCCCACCTATCCCCTCCTCCCACCTCCCACCTCAAGCCCCACCCCCATGTCCCACCTACCTGTCTCATCTCGCCTCCTTGACCTGTCCGTCCTCCCTGGACCGACCTATCCCCTCCCTAACTCCCCACCTACACTCACCTTTACTGGCTCCATCCCCACCTCTTTGACCTGTCTGTCTCCTCTCCACCTATCTTCTCCTCTATCCATCTTCTATCCGCCTTCCCCTCTCTCCCTATTTATTTCAGAATCCCCTTCCCCTCCCGCATTTCTGAAGAAGGGCCTAGACCCGAAACGTCAGCCTTCCTGCTCCTCTGATGCTTGGCCTGCTGAATTAAACTGTAGATTATTAAGCTTCACTGCCTAACATTGTTTTGCCAGAAGATTCTTAACTCTGCATGTGACATTGCTAGATGTTTAATTCACAATAATCCATGTGTTTCACTGACTTTGAATTCAGATAATTATGTTGGAGATTATTCAATTTTTTAAACACCCTTGATTGAGCTAATTATGAACAAATTATTTGAACAGTGGGTGTAGTATGATGGTTTATGAATATGCTAGTGATCTAATTGACACTCTGAAGTCAGAGTGGAGCAGAAGAACAGATCAGAGAAAGCGTATAATGGGCAGGAGTAAGATGCCAAAAAGCTGCATTCAGGAGCCTGTGTAACTCTGTAAATGTAAATACTGAAAGAAATGACACATTAGGAATACAAGACCACATGAATAGGAGCAGCCTTATTGTAAATGTAGCATATTCATCATGTTCTTTGGTGGAATAAAGTTGAAAAATTGACTCCCTTTTATTTTAACATTTAAAAACAAATAACCAGATGCCAGTTAGCCTTACATCTGTCATTGGGAAAATGTTAGACAATAGTCTTCAAAATGTTAAGCACATGTTCAGTTTTTGAATTTGTGCAACCCAAAGTAAACCTAGAATAAGCAGTTTGTTTATTTTTAGTGCTATATAAACTGGCAGATAATGTATACAAACATGTTGAATTCTGGGTTGTAGTTTGAGACTGCAAGTCATTCAGTCCACTGGCTGGATATCTGTGAAGTGGGTGTGATATTTGGACTTGAGTATGTTCATTTTTGGGAGAATGCTGTCTCTGAAGTATGTATCTGGAGCCAAAATAAGCTTCCAATTTAAATGCACAGGAAGGTAGACCCAGGTATTTTTCTGTTTGAGTCCCCAAAAATCACAGTCCCTTGATCTCTTTCAGCCCAACACTTTACGTAGCAACTGTTTACGTATCAACTACACACATCAACTCCACTGCTTTGTAAATCAAACACCTTATGGAATTCGGTGGCCAATTTCACCAATGTTTACTTGAAGGAATAGGTCTGAGACAAACATGACATGAATTCCATTACATTTGATTCCTGAGATCCTGTTGCATTTCTCTGCTAACTACCTCCAGGTGTGCATGGATGTTTTCTGGGTGGATCCACTTTGTATTTGGTACTTTTCTCCCATTTTCTCCGGTCTGTATTGTAGCATTTTGTTTTAATCGGGAGAACCAGAGACCCAGCTTCAATTTAAATGCATTCATGGCACAAGTATTTACATGACAAGGCTTGCTAATGCTTGTTAGTGCATCATGCAGTGGTAATTAGCAAAAGAGCTGTAATTCGGATCATATCTGGTAGCTGGGCTGTCTGTCATATCAATGAATTGGTTGAACTGCAGCAAGAAGCATTCACAGTCCTTCAGGTCCTGCTGTAGTTGTCATCAGATGCTGAAAGATATCATCAGATAAAGATTCCATTCCTCTTGCTACTTTGGAAGCATCAAGTGATGTGCTTTGGATTGCTGTTATTGTTGTTTCTTTGTTCTTAAAGTTTTTAAACAGAGAGTCAGTGACCACAGTCGTCATTCTTTTAATTACATTGTCATTTATGAATCGTTTTGTTTTACTAGAAGATGGCATTCGCAAAATGATGCTTCAGTGCAGGCCTTACCTTTTCTATTCGTTTAGAAAAGAAATGACTTGAGCTTTCAAAATAGCCTCCAGCTCATCAATTTTTTTATTTTTGTCCAAAGCATGCTATTAAAGAGAAAATTATTTTTGAATTTACTGTGCATTGTGATGCTGTTCCAAATGTCCTTTTTTACTTTGTTGACATTGCCTTTGACATACACGGCAAACTGTCAATCTTTTACAATTGTGAACAAAAATATTTCTATTCTATATAGAAGTTGTGCATTATTGGTAGTCCAGATTCTTCACTCGTCATGTTTCTAGTACTGTAACAATAGCCTTCACCCATCAGTGCCTAAGTATATTTCTTATTGTCACCACAAAACTGTCTTCACATGGCAAAGATAGTTCATCTGGACCAAATTGAAACATGATGCAAAAACTGACTCAACCTGTTAAGTGTGTGCAATTTTCTAGCTGTGCAGCTTCTGGAGGTGGAAGTTGTACAGTGGTATGACCAATGTATGTACAGCAAGGGAATTGAAGTAGGTGATGAGATTGGCCTTCAACACAGATTAAAATCAACAGTCGGAGTCCCTGATTTATCAGTGTTAGAACCTAATTATAAAGGATGTAATAGTAAGCATTTTCTAAATGCATTAATGTGATCAAGCCAAGTCAGCATGGCTTCATGAAGGGGACATTAATGTCTGACAGATTTATTGGAAATCTTTTGAAGACGTTACAAGCATGACAGATGAAGAAAAATCTATAGATGTATTATATTTGGATTTCCAAAAGATCTTTAAGATATTGCACGTAAAATTATAAGATAAGAGCCAATGATGTAGGTGTATTAATATGGATTGGGTAACTGATGGAAAACAGTTGGGATAAAGGGGACATTTTCAGGATATCAGCCTGTAACTAGTGGAGTGCTACAAGTCACAATTATTTGCAATATATAATTTGGATGAGGGAAATGAATGTACTGTTGACAAGTTTGTGGATTGCATTGTAGGTAGGAAGGCAAGTCGTGAAGATGATTGTCCATAGAGAGACATAGACCAGTTAAGTGAGTACCTAAAAACTTGGCAGATGGCATATAATATGGGGAAAATCTGAGGTTATGCATTGTGGCAGGAAGAATGGAGGAACTGAATATTACCTAAACGGAAAAACTGCAGATTTCTGCAGAGGGGGATTTGGGGGTCCACTTGTGTAAATCACCTAAAAGCCAATGTTTGCATTCAGGTAATAAGGAAGGCAAATAGACAGTTGACTTGTTTGTTTCGCAGGGAATGGAGTAATAAAATAGAGAAGTCTTACTGAAGCAAGACAGGATTAAGACCTCAGCTGGGGGTTGTGCGGAACAGACTTGAGTTACAGATTTGAATTAGACTGAGGCATTGAGAATGTCACTGCTTAGCCGTGCGCCCCTGAACTAAAATAAGGTAATTTGGGAAAGTCAGATTCAATGTCTGTAGTCTGCAGCTTGTGTTGAACATCTACCAATAACCACCAAGCTCCTATTACAAACATAATTTATGCTAAGTATCAACATGCTTGGTCCTCAACAACAAAAAAAACCCAGCATTGGTTAACTGTGGGAACTGTTACTTTTAAAGGAAAGCATTCTAGAATATTCAACACTGCTTGTTTGCACTTTGCTTAAAGCTGCATTGTCAAACTTTGTTTTAATGGTAGCAATACAAAATTAAAGGATTGCATTTTGCCTGAATATTTGGCATTTTGAGCACTGCTATTTTAAAGATCTTGCGTCCTATTATACCAACCTTGTTCACCACCAATACAATTAATGGAGTGCAAATCTAAGTAACATAGTATTTTTATTTGTATAATTAAAGGTCAAATTGCCCTGAAGGTGGCACTGAAGAGTCAACAGTTGCATGCTGAATTTGAGGAAGAGCGATTTCATTACCAAAACCTTGTGAAAAAATTCTCCCACCTAGAACAAAGATATGAAAATCTGAAAGATGAGCTGACTTTCATTAAGGTAATTTGAACTTTAATTTGCTTCAAATATTTACAATACTGACAAAATAAATGTGCCAAAACCTTTTTTCAGTTGTGTGCCACTACTTTAGATATCAAGACTGATCAAGTCTAAAGATGAGGTTTTGTTAATGAGAATATGAATTTACTCTACACATACTTTAATTTTATAAATAAATACCTTGTAAACCTGTGCAGATAGCCAGTGGGAGGAGGCATTAGAGAAACCCATCCAAAATCAATTTTATCCATGTGTACATTGCCAATATCTTCTGAATTTCTCAGGTCTTTAGAACTCTATGATCAAAATAAAATACCCAACTGTCTACTGGTTTACTTCCGTAAACAAATTTTGTATTTGGGTTGCATTTAATGCTTTGCTGAAATGACTTTATCACCCTGCAACAATGCAAAGTAAACAGCGTAGCTCTTATTTTCTGTTCTTGGAGACCACAAGGAGGCAGCAGTTTGACCGCCTTTAGCTTTACACTACTATATAAAGTTAACCATAATCTTGTAGGCTTTTAAGAGTCTGCTGGACTGTCTGTTTTTATAATAGTTGAATTGGCTATTTCCCACCTACAAATAGATTGAAGTTTTCTTTTTTTATTCCTGTGGCTTGTTAGAGAGTTTTTTTATTGATTCATGGGATGAGGGTGTCGCTGGCTAGGCAGCATTTATTGCCCATCCCTAATTGCCTAGAGGGCAATTAAGAGTCAACCACATTGCTGTTGGTCTGGAGTCACACGTAGGCCAGACCAGGTGGGGATGGCAGTTTCCTTCCCTAAAGGACATTAGTGAACCAGATGGGTTTTTCCCGACAATCAACAATGGATTCACTGTCATCTTTAGATTCTTCATTCCAGATATTTATTGAATTCAAATTCCGCCATCAGCCGTGGCGGTATTCGAGCCCAGGTCCCCAGAATATTATCCAGGTCTCTGCATTAATAGTCCAGCGATAATACCACTGCCATCGCCTCCCCTATATAGTAGCTTGATACCTAATGTTAGACCTTGCTGGAGTGGAAATCAAGCCCTGCTATTGTGTTATCACTGAAGTTAGACATTAGAGTTAAACTACATAAAATTCCACAGTTTACCTAACTTTCAGACTTGGGTCGACAGAAAACACTCGCCAGGTTTCTGTACTTAACAATAAGCATAATTAGACTCCAGCTATAGGTAAACAATTAATGAACTGTCAGCACATAAATCTAGTTCTCTCATTCACTCAGGAAAAATTATAGGCATTACATGTGGAGGGAAAGACTGGAAAAGCAGTTGTGTCCCTGTTCACTGATTTTTGCTGAGATTATTCTTGTGCTATTAAGAATGTTGCTTCTTGATCTTCCTTCTCTCGTTGCTTTTACTTGTTTGTAGGATGCACAAAGTGACTGGTTTGCACTTAGGTCTCTGACTTATTAATTAAAAGTAACTAAAGTATAAATAAACTGGTTTTCTTCAGGCTTAGTGGTTTTTACTGTAGAGAATCAAGACAGTTCCTGAGTTTGTGGAGACTTAATGTTGTCTTTTCTCTCTATCTTGTTCAAGCCCCAAGCTATTCGGCTACCTTGGAGCCAATCTGTTTAGCAGCTAGGAAGTGTTTTGTCATTTGATAACTAACTAGCCACCTATCACAGGCAAACCAGCCAGTTGTTGCTAGCTGAATCTCCACTTTTGCACACACTTGTCTGTAAACCTCCTCCACTACTGCTTGAAGCAGCTGTTGTGTAAACAGTACTTACAATAAGTGTCAGGTTAATTTGCTTTCAAAGTGTGGCGATCCTCAATCCTTGATTTGTGTTTTTTTTCAAATCAATTTTTTCACTTCAGTCTACAATCGAAAATACAGAATATCTTAAAGATATGATCTTCGCTGAGTATAGTGTTTTAAGTGAGGAGTGTCCAGCCGCCTTCTCATTCCTTTATTTTACTTGTTTATTTAATTTATTTGACAGTTACTTAGAGACCAAGAGGAAGAATCTAGGCTACTTTTTCAAGCTGTCCAAGCACAGGGTTAGGTTTCTCTTGTCTTGAGGTTTTGAAGAAAATATTTATTCAGGGATTTTTGTATCCTGCATTTTTAAAATTTATTTTATCTTGTTGAATTCATGCAGGTAACTCTTTCATTAAAAGTCAAACCAATGTAACTTCTCTGTGCAATAGAGTTTAATAATGAGAAACTATTTATTATCTGTTTCTTGCATTACAACAATGGGCTGTAAAATATTTTTGGTGGGTCAATGGTCACAGAAAATGCTGTACAAATGCAAGCTTCAATGCTGAATGTGACTTGGGGAAGCTCAGTTTATATGTTAATGTAAAAGAAATTTCGTAATGTTGGACAACTGGGAGTTTGCCAGTTACAGCATCCTAATCTGTCTGATCAGTTGCAGCTTGTTTGCAAGGAGATGATGAGACTGCAAGGGTGAACAGAGGAAAAAAATACTGATTTCTTTTGTAGTCTCTGCAAAAATAAACTTCTATATGTGAAGTTACTTTAACCTGATTGGATCAGCCACCTGACTTTGACTATCTCTCTTCAGATCAAATGATTAAAAACTACTTCCAATTTTGTCTGAAGTCCAAAGTAATTTTGGATGTCTCCAAAAATGCCACCTCCATCAACCTTCCCAGGCAACCAGTTTGGCCGCAATAGTGCATAATGTTAATGACCTATTTGACCTGAGCTGAGTTTCAGTCCTCACATCCTTGCTATTTTTAGCTAATTCAACCTGCCTTTTCTGCCTGGCTGAGCTCATCCTTGTTTTGACAACTTCTCTTTTTAACTCCTCTTGCTTTCTTCAGGTCAAAGGTGTAGCTATGGATACCTGTGTAGGCCCCAGTTATGCTTGTCTCTGTGGGGTATATGGAACATAGCTTCTTCCAGTCCTACTCTCCCACCTGCAACTCTCAACTTTCTCAACCGCACCGACATCATTGCTTCCCCCCAATCATCTGGAATTAGAAAAATGTGTCTATTTTGCTTCCATTTTCCACCCTGCTGTCACCTTAACCTGGTCCATCTGACCCCTCCCTTCCCTTGCTTGATATTCTGTTCTCATATCTGGAGATAAGCTGGCCACTAATATCCACGATAAACCCCAACTCCCACAGTTACCTTGATTTGTACGTCCTCATACCCTGCTTCTTGTAAAGACTCCGTTCCATTTTTTCCTATTCCTCTGTTGCATCTGTCTGATGCCAACTTCATTGTCTCTAAATTGTCATCTAATATTCAATGGATAAACTTGCTTCAGTTAAATATTTAGAAGACAAATGCTATGTTTACTTTGTAACCACTGACTTATTTATCTCCCTGGCAAGACCGTTGTAAATTTGACATCATAGTTGATAAAGACAAACTTCTGACCACCTCCACGATATCATCTGATTCTGCAACTGTATCACTTCATCTGCTTAAACTCAACTGGTTTTATTGCCTCCCATACCATTCCAAAGCATGTCTTACCAATCTCTTGCCTTCTGATGCCCATCCCTCCCCCTGGAATTTGGATTTTGATATATTTAGATGGACTTCAGTTTGTTTTGTCAAGCTTTCTTTTTTAAATGTCAAAGTCCATTTGGGTTGGTGACCTCAATGCATAATTTCCAATAAGATGTGTAACTTCAGTCCTCTGCCTGGCAAAGCACCTGCAATGTTAATGGATGGCATGTTTACACTACTGAGTTTGAAAGGCCCAAGGTTATTTATTTAACTTTAGGCTTTAATTAACAAGAAAGAACACATTTCTAACTAAAGGATCAAGATTTTATAGTTCAGGAGAAGTAGTCACCTTTGTGTTTTTGGGTTTGTCAAGCTTCCAAGCCAAGAGAATTTGTGTAGAAGTCTTCAAGTTAGAATGGAAAAAGATTCTGCCATCAGAGCTAAGGCAGGCTCATGTCAGCAGACAGGAATGATGGAAATGTCTCGGTAGCCCAAGGGGAAAAAAAACTGGATTAAATGAAAATTTAAAGTTGAGATGGTGATATTGGGAACATGTTGAAACTGTTTAACTGTTATGGTTCTAGCAGTCACCTTTATAATTTTAAATTGTCTTTGTGTAATAAGCTTGTGTTCTGTTGAAGAACACCTACAGCCTCATGAATGTGTTTTTAATGACTAACCACCATTCTAGGGATTTAACCTGTCCAGTGTTACCATCAGTAAGGATCATCATAACAATATCATATTTGTTTTACAAAGCCCTTGTGCAATGGTGTATTTTATTAAAGGTATATGTAATTACAAAATGTTAATGTTGGCTTAATTATACTATTCCTTTCAGTTCTGATTTTTGATCTTTAACTCTCTTTTTCCAAATAATTTATTAAATGTGTTTATTTACACTTGGTTCATATGCATTCTTTGTTGAAATACAGTCTCTTTCACTAATGCTTTTTAATATTGGCAAATATTGCCTTTTAATTCTTTTTGGATGTAACCAGGCTATACCATTTGCAGTTGCTGTCCTGTACCTCCTTTCCTTAGGCCAGTGATAAATCGATTTATTTATCTATCATGTTAAACTATTTATTCCATTCACCTGTGTCATTTGTGACATAGTATGCTTATTTTAATAGGAAAATGAAATGAGAGATGCTGATATTGGAGAGACATGTAGCATTATTAAGGTAATACTTAAGTTTTTTTTTAAATTGTCTAAGTGTAAATGCAATTAAGTTTGAATTTTAAAACTGAATCATAAAACTTTGTTAAAGTATTGACCAGTTGTCACAATTACTAAAGTGATTTAACAGTTTCTGAAGATTTATTTTATCTAAATTTAAGTTCCATCTGATCTAGATCCTGTTGTATTCAGATGTAATCTTCTTCAGTGTCCATTACATCTCCAATTTTAGTGTCATCTACAAACTTACTAACCATACCTCCTATGTTCACATCCAAAGCATTTTTATATAAATGATGAAAAGCAGTGGAACCAGCACCGATCCATATGGCACACTGCGGGTCACAAGCCTCCAGTCTGGAAAAACAACCCTCCACCACCACCCTCTGTCTTCTACCTTTTGTGCCAGTTCTGCATCCAAATGGCTAGTTCTTTGTGTATTCCATGAGTTCTAACCAGTCTACCATAAGGAATCCTTTGTCAAACGCCTTGTAGAAATCCACATAGATCATGTTCATCTCTCTACGCTCATCAATCCTCTTTGTTAGTTCTTCAAAAAACTTAATCAAGTTAGTGAGACACAAGTTCCTTTGCACAAAGCCATGTTGACTATCCCTAATCAGTTCTTGCCTTTCCAAATACACGTAAATCCTGCCCCTCAGGATTCCCTCCAACAACTTGTCCAGCATCGATGACCGGCTTACCAGTCTACAGTTCCCTGGTTTTTCTTTATCACCTTTCTTACATTTGTGGCACCACATTAGCCAACCTCCAGTCTTCTGGCACCTTGTCTGTGGCTATCAATGATAGAAATACCTCGGCAAGGGGCCCAACAATCACTTCCCTGGCTTTCCACGGAGTTCTAGTGTACACCTGATCAGGTCCCAGGGATTTGTCTACCTTTTGTGTTTTAAGCCATCCAGCACCACCACCTCTGTAAAATGGGCATTTTTCAAGATGTCGCCATAGAACATAGAACATTACAGCGCAGTACAGGCCCTTCGGCCCTCAATGTTGCGCCGACCTGTGAAACCAATCTGAAGCCCATCTAACCTACACTATTCCATTATCATCCATATGTTTATCCAATGACCATTTAAATGCCCTTAAAGTTGGCGAGTCTACAACTTTTGCAGGCAGGGCATTCCACGCCCTTACTACTCGGAGTAAAGAACCTACCTCTGACATCTGTCCTGTATCTATCACCCTTCAATTTAAAGCTATATCCCCTCGTACTAGCCATCACCATCCGAGGAAAAAGGCTCCCACTGTCCACCCTATCTAATCCTCTGATCATCTTGTATGTCTCTATTAAGTCACCTCTTAACCTTCTGCTCTCTAACGAAAACAGCCTCAAATCCCTCCGCCTTTCCTCATAAGACCTTCCCTCCATACCAGGCAACATCCTGGTAAATCTCCTCTGCACCCTTTCCAATGCTTCCACATCCTTCCTATAATGAGGCGACCAGAACTGTACGCAATACTCCAAGTGCGGCCGCACCAGAGTTTTGTACAGCTGCAACATGACCTCATGGCTCTGAAACTCAATCCCTCTACCAATAAAACCTAACACACCATACGCCGCCTTAACAACGCTATCAACATGGGTGGCAACTTTCAGTGATCTATGCACATGGACACCGAGATCTTTCTGCTCATCCACACTACCAAGAATCTTACCATTAGCCCAGTACTCTGTATTCCTGTTACTCCTTCCAAAGTGAATCACCTCACACTTTTCCGCATTAAACTCCATTTGCCACCTCTCAGCCCAGCTCTGCAGCTTATCTATGTCCCTCTGTAACCTGCAACATCCTTCCGCACTATCCACAACTCCACCAACTTTGGTGTCATCCGCAAATTTACTAACCCATCCTTCTACGCCCTCATCCAGGTCATTTATAAAAATGACAAACAGCAGTGGCCCCAAAACAGATCCTTGAGGTACACCACTAGTAACTGAGACTAGTAACATTGTGGACTTCACAAGCTTCAAAATCCCCCCCCTTACCCGACCGCATCCCAAAACCAGCCCAGCTCGTCACCGCTTCGCTAACCTGTCCGTCCTTCCTCCCACCTATCCACTCCTCCCACCTCAAGCCCCACCCCCACCTCTGACCTACCAGCCTCACCCTGCCTCCTTGACCTGTCCGTCCTCCCTGGACTGACCTATCCCCTCCCTAACTCCCCACCTTTACTGGCTCCATCCCCGCCTCTTTGACCTGTCTGTCTCCTCTCCACCTAATCTGCTCCTTTATCCATCTTCCATCCCCCTACCCCCCTCTCTATTTATTTATTTCAGAATCCCCTTCCCCTCCCCCATTTCTGAAGAAGGGTCCAGACCCAAAATGTCAGCTTTCCTGCTCCTCCGATGCTGCTTGGCCAACTCTGTTCATCCAGCTCTACACCTTGTTATCTCAAAAAAAAAAAGACTAGTTTGGTTTGGGGAAACTTGGTCAGCCTGCATGAATTGGACTGAAGGGTCTGTTTCTGTACTGTATGACTGAGGTTATGCACTTTAAGCTGTTCAATTCTTCCTGCCAATGTTATTTGAATGGAGAAAGACTGGGGTCCTTATCCATCTATCTCAAAAAAACCTAGCATCCAAGTTCAATAGGTAATAGAAAAGGCAAATGGAAAGTTGGCCTTTATTTCAGAGGGAATGGAGATAAGTAGGGTGGATCTTGCTAAAACTATACAAGGCACTAGTGAGACCACATTACTGAACAAGTTTGGGACCTTCTAAGGAAAAATGAACATGCACTGGAGGCAGTCCAGAGAAGGTTCATTCAGTTGATACCAGGTATGAAGTAATTGTTTTGTGATGAGGGGTTAAGCATCTTGGGCTTGTGCTTGTGCTCGTGGGAATTTAAGAATGATGTGACCTTATTGAAACACAGGATTTTTACGGGACCTACTTAGAAATATGGAAATGTTCTTTCTGCTTAAGGGGAAGACTAGGATCAGAGGCCATAATCTCCAGCATAAGGTGGAATTTCTTCTCCAGGTAGTCACCATGGAACCCTTTACAACAGTGTTGTCAAGTTGTCATTGAGTAAAAATCTGTATCTCGAATATATTTAGTAGGGGAATCAAGGGTAAGGAGGAAAAGGCAGGATAGTGGCATTGAGAAATTCACCAAACATTACCAAGGGCAACAGATAAATGGGAACACTGCCATCCTGATTTGGAAATATATCGCTGTTCCTTTACCGTCAATGGATCAAAATCCTAGAATTCCCTCCCTAATGGCATTGTGGGTCAACCCATAGCAGGAGGACTGCAGCAGTTCAAGAGGGTAGCTCACCACCACCACCAGAATTAGGGCAACTAGGGACGGGCAAGAAGTGCTGGTCAGCCACAAATGAATAGAGAAAAAACTTGTTGGATCAGCTGTGATTGTGTTGAGTGGCCTTGCTCGGGAGGTAGGGGGAAGAGAAGTATTCTAGAAGTCATGAAATTGGTAACCATCTGAGAAATTGATTTGTTTTGAGAAGGTAAGGGTGTCATCTGAAAGAAGAGCCATCAGTACCTCTATCTGCAGGTTTTATTCAGATGGGAATGAGCAAGCAGAAAGTTTTACATTAGAATTGGAGTGGATAAAAGGTTGTGGTTTGTGGTTGGTGGTTGGTTGTTATTAGAGAAACCGAGACAACTAATTGTAATTACTACTCCACCACCACTTCCCTATTGCTGCTGCTATGTCACTGGACTAGTAATCTAGAACTGTAGCCTAATATTCTGGGGCCATGGATATTAATTCCAGTAAGGCTTATGGTGAAATTTGAAATCAATGCAAGAAATTAAAGCTTTTAATTCCATACTAATATCAACCACTGTTCTAAAAACCCATCTGCTTTTTAGGGAAAGAAATTTGCTATCCTTACCTGCTCTGGACTCCAGACTGTCAACAGTGTGGCCTTAACCGGCCTTTGAAATGACCTAGCACTCCGCAATCCACTCACCCCGAGGATGGTAGCAGTTCAAGGTGACTCGACACTACCTTCTCCACAGCACTGAGGATTGGAGCAATAAATACTAGCCTAGCCAGCAATACCCTTCCCATGATGAAATTTAAAAAGTTTGACATAAAAGTAGGCTGGGAGGGAGGGATACGGGAAAATGAAAGCAAAACATTAGCTTGCTAAACTAGGGAAAAAAAGCAGAAATTAGAATTAAATGTGAACTGATGCATTTTGGTATTATAAAAAGTAATGTGATGATGAAGAGAAGGATTTGTGGTTTGGGTTGACAAAACATTAGAATCAGCACTTCAATGGAAAAAAGGCGAGAAAAGCAAATACTCCATTAACATTTTATGGAGAGAAGTATTGAATTTAAAAGACATAATGCAATGATGAATCTAAATAAAACTCATTAGGACCATGGTTGAAGATATGGATGCAGTTTTAAGATCCATACTTTACATTGATGCTATAGAGAGGTTGAGTACAGATTCAATAGGAATGCAGTCAGATATGAAGAAATATAGATGAGATGACTTCATAATTGGGGCTTTTTATTTTGGAACCAGGAAGGGTATGAAATGATTTGATGTTTAAAGTGTACATAGAAATGAATGGTATCCAGTGATAATGGCTATAGAATGAAACACAATTTGGGACTGGACAAATTTTTTTTTACATTGACGGTTGTGGGGCTGTAGAATAATGTAGTGACAGAAACAGAGACGAAGGCAGCTGTTAATGTGTGTTTGCTAAGAGGTACAGAAATTAACTAGAAACAGATGGGTATACAGAATTTAAGGGTAAATAGCAGACTGGGAGGTTCGTGCCAGTGACACGAGTCAGGATTTAACAGTTTAAAAACTAACCACATTGAATGTAAATGTGCAGACTTGGAGCCATTTCAGTTACACAAAGATATAACCACAATAATGCACATAAAATAGAAGTGTTAATCATCGTGGAAATTGGTGCAAAATCTGCTTGCAGTTGAAGGACTTGGGCACATTATAGTACAAAGCTAGTCATCCTCCTAAAGTCAAAGCTGTACATGTAGGGAAACAGATTCTTCAGTCTTTATTCATTCATGGGATGAGGGCATCACTCGTTAGGCAGCATTATTGCCCATCCCTGATTGCCCAGAAGGTGGTTAAGAGTCAACCGCATAGCTGTGGGTGTGGAGTCACATGGAGGCCTGACCAGGTAAGGATGGCAGTTTCCTTCCCTAAAGGGCATTAGTGAACCAGATGGGTTTTTCCAACAATCGGCAATGGATTCATGGTCAGCATTAGACTCTTAATTCCAGACACTTATTGAATTCAAATTCCACCATCTGCGGCGGTGGGATTCAAACCCAGGTACCAGGACATTATCTGGGTCTCTGGATTAAAGTCCAGCAATAATACCACTAGCCCCTTGCCTCCCCTCCGACTTGTCCATGTTGACCAGATATCCTAAATAAATCTAGTCCCATTTGGCCCATATCTCTGTAAACATTTCCTATTCATATTCCCATCCAGATGCCTTTGAAATGTTGTAATTGTATGAGCCTTCACCACTTCCTCTGGAGCTTATTGCATACATGCACCACCTTCTGTGTAACGAAGTTGTCCCTTGGGTCTGTTTCATACCTTTCCCCTCTTACCGTTAAACCAATGCCTTCTATTTTGTACTCCTATTCTGGGGAAAAAATTATTCACCCATGCCTTTCATGATTTTATGAACCTCTAAAGTCACCCCTCAGCCTCTAATACTCCAGGGAAAATAACCTAAACCTATTCAACCTCTCACTATAGTTCAAATCCACCAATATCCTTAATTTTTTTTCTGTACCCTTTTCAAGTTTAACATATTTCATATAGCAGGGATATCAGAATTGAATGCAGTATTCCAGAAGTGGCCTAAGCAATGAACTCTACAGCTGCAATATGACATCCCGACTCCTATATGCAATTCATTGACCAATAAAGGCAAGCCTTCTTCAATACCCTGTCTACCTGTGATTCCACTTTCAAGTAACTATGAACCTGTACCCAAGGTCTCTTTGTTCAGTATCACTCACTAAGACCCTACCATTAAGTATATATATCCTGCCCTGATTTTCCTTACCAAAATGCAACACGTCACATTTATTTAGAATAATCTCCATCTGCCACTCCTCGACCCATTGGCCCATCTGATCAAGGTCCTGTCGTGCTGAGATAACCTTCACTATCCACCACACAACCAATTTTGGTGTCATCTGCAAACTTAATCATTCCTCCTATATTCACATCCAAATATTATATAAATGACAAAAAGCAGTGGACTCAGCACCAGTCATTACCGCACACTGTTGGTCACAGGCCTCAGCCAAAAAACAACCCTCTACCATGAGCCATGTCTCCTACCTTAAAGCCAATTTTGTATCCAAATAGCTAGCTCTCTCTGGAGTCCATCTAATCTAACCTTGCTAACCAGTCTACTATGCAGAACCTTGTCAAATGCCATGAAGTCCATGTAGACAACTTTGTCACCTCTTGAAAGACCTCAGTCAAGTTAATGAGATGACTTTCCCCACACAAGCCATGCTGACTCTCCCTAATCAGTCCTTGTCTTTCCAACTCCATGTAAATCCTATCCTTCAGAATCCCCTCCAACAACTTGCCCACTGTTGACAGCAGGCACACTAATCTATAGTTCCCTGGCTTCTCCTTACCACCTTGCTTAAATAATGGCACCACATTAGCCACTCTCCAGTCTTCAGGCACCTCACCCATAGCTATTGATGATACAAATATCTCACCAAGGGGCCCAGCAATCGCTTCCCACAAAGTTCAGGGATACACTTGATCAGGTCCCAGGGCTTTATCCATCTTCATGTGTTTTAAGACATCTAGCACCACCATCTTGGTAATATAGAATTTTTAAGACATTACTATTTATTTCTCCAAGTTGTCTAGCTTCTATATCCTTCTCCACAGCAAATACTGATGTGAAATATTCATTTAATATCTTGCCCATTTCCTGCAGTTCCACACAGACAATCTTGTTCTTTAAGATCCCTATTCTCTTCCTAGTTACTCTTTTTTACCATTAATATATTTGTAGAATCTGTTTGGATTCGCCTTAACCCTTTTTGCCCTCCTGATTGCCCCCTCTTGACTATACACCACCTGCCCTTATACTCTAAGGGACTCCTACAATCCCAGATGCCTATATCTGCCATATGCCTCTTTCTTGACCAGAGCTTCAGTTTCTCTGGTCATCCAGCGTTCCCTATACTACCAGCCTTGCCCTTTGCACTAACAGCAACATACTGCCTCTGGACTCTCATTATCTTATTTTTGAAGGCCTCCCACTTTCCAACTGTCCTTTTACTGCAAATAGCTTCGTCCACTCAGCTTTTGAAAGTTCTTGCCTAATACTGTCAAATTTAGACCTGATCTAAAAGTTAAAGTTCTATCTTTTTCCATGATGGTTGGGGCCATTGTGGAGATAAGTTCGGTGGAGCAGGAGCAGGAGCAGGCGGAGACAATGGGTCGACCAGGGCAGAAGGGTCCAGACCCGAAATGTCAGCTTTCCTGCTCCTCTGATGCTGCTTGGCCTGCTGTGTTCATCCAGCTCTACACCTTGTTATCTTTTTCCATAACTATTTTAATGGATTTATTGTTACTGGCTCCAAAGTGTTCAGTCACTTGTCTTGCCTTATTTCCCAAGATAAGGTCACGTTTTACTCTTTTAGAAGGTTCATCCATATACGGAGTAAGAAAATTTCCTTGGACACACTTAAATTCCTTTCCATCTAAGCCCTTTACGCTACGGCAGTGCCTAGTGTATGTTTGGATAGCTAAAATCCCCTACCATTACAACTCTATCATTCCTACAGATCTGAGATCTCCTGAACAATTTGCTTCTCCATTTCCTGCTGACTGCTGGGGGGGTCTATAGTACAATCCCAATAAGATGATCATCCATTTCTTATTTCTGTTCCATCCAAATAACTTCACTGGCGTACCCCCAGGAATATCTTCCACATACAGCTGTAATGTTATCTCTAATAAAAAAAAAAAAATGCCACACTCCCTCCTCTCTTACTCCCACTCCCAACCATCCCCCGCCACTCCTATCCTTCCTATAGCATCTATACCCTGGAACATTGAGCTGCCATTTCTGTAACAGCTATGATATCCCACTCTCATGTTCCCAAATGCTTATCCCAATCATTGACTAGTCTAGCCTTCGAATGAGGTATCAATACTGTGATTGTCTCATTGTTTATGGTCATGTGACAAATTGTATGCCTAAGTAATAAGTATAAAATGTATAAAGAAAATTTTGTTCATTCAACAGCCTCTAAGTTGTATCCCTCTCTGCATAATGTACAACAAATCCCTTGCCTTGTTTGAACCCATAACTTCTGTGTCAGATGTCGCTTGAAAAACTATAACAGAGGTTAACCTGTAGTTTAGATAGGCATATGAAGGATAAATGCCAATACCAATAGGTTTGGCCAAATGCTGGTTTCAAAAATTTATTTTTAAATCATCATATACTTGTCATTTAAAATTTCACCTTTGGGCAATTTTCTTCTCTCTGTTCCTATATCGACTGAAAATGTGCACCCGGAAGACTTGGACAATTGTACAAGTGACAATAATCCCAGAGAATTGAGTGATATTACATAATTAAGACTAGGCTGCTACTTAACTATTTAGAAACAACATGCAATGATTTGGTTCCATGGATTTTCTATCTTGGATGGTGGACATCAACTTATAACAATCGTCAAAGCATTTGCAACAATCAAATTATATGAGGTACACATTTTACAAACTAGAGCTTGAAAGGATACATACAATTGAAAGGTTTCATTGAATTTTGGAGCCCAGCTATTGTTTTTGGATTTAGTGGCAAACCTCCTCTTCTTGTCACTAAGATGAGGTCCAATTATGTTAACTTCAACAAATGGACGGAAGATACCAGTTGTTTGCCACTTTAGATCATTAGCAGCCACAACTGCAAAGAAAGGAAAAGAAAACCAAAAGATTTGCTTACAGATTAATATTTCAAAACATGCATGTTTTTGTTAAATTTAGCTCCAAGGGTCACAGGTGTGTCTCAAAGCAATAGATTCTACCTCTAGTAGCCCGTGGTGTAGTTGCAGCAATAGATAATTACAGACTATTTAATCCATTCTTTCTTCACAAATACTAGCACTATTATGGAATGGTACAGTCTATGCAGGGAATACCCCTCAAATTATTGGAAAAATTATCACTGAAATGTTTCCTGACTAAAATTGTTTCCAAAAGGCATGGGCAGTATTTGTGGCTCCCTGGATCATTAACTGCTGTTTAATAATGTTATCAACTATATACTTATGTACTGTATCTTTTCTATTGCAGCCTACTTTATAAAAATACAATGCTGGAAATACTCAGCAGGTTTCAGGATAAACCTCCTCGCTATGGGTAAACCTATAGGGAGATCAGAGTTCACAAGTGGAATTTTCGCCATGTTGAATGTGCTGAGATTTGGCAAGAAGGGGAAATGACTGGGCAAATTTGTTTCACTGCCTCTATAATTAATGCTGGGTGAGAAAGTCAGGGGTGACTTCTTTGATGTGCAGCAATTAAGGTCCTCGAGTGATCGATTAAGGGCTATGCAACTACCTCAACTCATCAGTCCTCCAATTATCTGCCTCCCCTACATGGAAGAACGGTGAAAAGCTTCTCAACTGGGTACCCAGGGTGACCTGCTGGTCAATTTTAGGGTGGGGTGCGAGGGATTCTAACTGTGCAAATATGGGGGCAATCCTAGACAAGAGGGGTGGCTTCAGAAAGCCAACCTGCTTCTGATCCCACTTTAAACGCCTCTCCCCACAAATCCCAGCAGAAGGAAATAAACTTCTCACTCCTCGATCCCCTTCTAAGTAGGCCTTGATGGGCAATTCTTAGAACCCAAAAGCGACTATACTCTAGTTAGCAGATTCTGGTCACCTGGCACACCATTGTTAAGGCACCTTTTATAATGTATGAATCTTGTCCTCACTCTGCATGTAAGCTCTTACTGAGTTAATAGGCAAGTGATCTGGTGAGCTCTCTCATCAATGGGGGCAGCATATTAGCTGCTACTTGACATGTACACCTGCACACTTTAAAAAATAAATCAAAAACCATTGGCTCACGTTTCAGGCCAATGAGCTTTTACCAGAACTGGAAAAAGTTAGTGAATGTAATAGGTCACTCTTTGCTCAGATCCAATTACATCACTAATTTTTCCTAGTTGTGTTTAAATTAGACAGATTCTTATTAACAGCTGAATTTAATTTCTAAGTATAAAATAATGAATACTACTAATGAATATTGCATTCAGAGAGCTGGCATTCTTTAAATGGATTTAATAATGGGGAAGCAACACCCTGCTAAACCAAGTTAACTAATCTGGGGTGAAAAGTAGCAACTCCTAGAACTTCAAACGTAGCAGGAGGTCATACAATGCAAAGGCTAAGTTTATATGCTTTATTTTATTATTGTATGCTTTATTTTATTATCATGGATTTCCAAAATGTTTTAGCTGTCTACCAATTATGTATATGGAATTTCATGAGATTGCAACTGCTGACTCACCTTTGCTCACTGAGTAAAACCTCCCATTAGCTTTTTGCTAAATTCTGGCTTCAGAATACCACTTTTGTTGCTCTTGCTGGAGTGAAAATGAGTCAGGGAGAAAGATAGAAAAATAATTCTGTACTGCTGGTGTCTCCCAGAATTCAGAGTTAATAATGGGACCCTAGTAAAATATTGGTTGCTGTAAATCTTATGGCTGGATTTTACTAGCATTATTGATTCCCTTACGACAAGTGTGGATCAATGCAACTTGTCACTTTTAATCATCTTTATGGTTTATGGCTGAAGTGACATCTTAGCAATGTGGTTGCCTTGTGATTGCAGCTGAAAGATTTTCAATGTTGACATGTGGCTTTATCTTTTGAGTTCAAAATGCATCAAACTTGCCAAAGGTTTCGAGATTTGTTTAAACAAAAAGTGAGACAAATCAGCTACTTTATTAAATGCATTTAACGTGGGAATAGAAGTAGGAGTAGGTCAATTCAATCCCACAACGCTGCTGTTATTCAACTATATTATGGCTTATCTTCTACCTCAATGCCATTTCCTGTACCATCACTATATCCTTTGATGGCTTAAAATCTAGGAAATTTACTTCTGTCTCTTTATTACAGTTCTTATTTCCTGACAGTGTGCTATTCATTGACTCAAACTTTTACCTCGGCCATCGGAAATATTCTTCCTGCATAGAGTCTGAGGAGATAACTAAGATAGCACGATTCTTGCAGTAACCCAACGCCATAGTGATACACTGCCTTCAACACATGGAGGGGTGATGGGGTCTTTAAGATTTTCCAGATGCAGTTTTGTCAGACACTCTATTTTAGACCCAAACAGAAAAAAAAAAACTCTACTCTAACAGCAGAAACTTTTCCACAACTTAGCAAGTATTGTTAAACATGTTAATGATATAACACACACAACACTATGTATTCATTTGATTAGTCTACAAGATTCTAATTTCACTCTGAAAGGCAACTCCCATTGCAGTTAGAATTATTACATAAATGTAAAGTCCACTTGTTGAGATATTTGGAGGATGCAAGTTTGAAGTTTATATTCATATAATTTCACAAATTTTGAAAATAAAGTTATATTTATAGGCGGTTCATTCTGACCAACCTTTAACTGTGATCTTATGCTCTCCAGTTCCTGGATGAGTGAAAAGTTCCACATGAATGGACACTTCTCCTACTGGATCATCCACACCAGGTCCTGTGGAATAATAGATTTAAAACCTAAACACCACTTGATGATAATCAACTATACACAGCATTTAGTGCAAAATTCACTATGTGCGAAGTCAGCCCCCGTGAAGGGCTTAATTTAGTAACAGGGGCAATTCAATAAGTCACATGCTTAAACTCATCCAATTGAAATACCTTTCCTCCCCAATTGTCCCAGTGCAAGCAAAATTTCAGCCATTATAAATGCCACTGGTTCTGCTCTTTATGAGTTTGATGCAATTACAAATAACAGACACCAGTCTACATTCGAATCGGCATGACAAATGTATTAATTCAGTTTGCTGGGAGTCAAATTACAATTAAAATCACTTTAAACTTAGACAATAAATCCATGTTGCGCTTAATGTTGAAACCAGTAGATTTTGCAGAACATGGTAGTGCTTCTGTTCCCCGGCAAATATTGCAACCTTTATTGTTTTTTCCTTTCTCCTTACAAACTGAATATATTATTTCAGAGGCAATTCCATTTCAGGCTCTTGCAAACACATTTCCTCTTAGCCAAATGAAAAGGTCGTCTATTATCACAATTGTAACAAGCAACCCACTACTGTGTATTTGATTTTCTGTAGGAAGCTGCATGCTACAAAAACATGCACAAGGATAACTGAATTTGGGTATTTAGATCTAGATTCTTGAAAGTTCCACTTTGACATCAGCTGAACAGTTGTTTCAAGCCCAGGCAATCTAATGCTGCCATTAATGGCAACATTATGCTCAAACGTACCCTTTTCAGGATAAACCTCCTCGCTATGGGTAAACCTAATACCCTTCCCACCATGCACTGAGTTGTGAAATCAAAGCCAGACAGCAGGCGAAAATGAAAGGAAGAAGAAACTGAAGTGAGAATACATATAAGAGACAGACATAGCAGTTAACCTAACAAACATCTTTAGACAAATGAAGATTATCAGAAAAAACAGTTCAGACACTCATTGGCAGCCAGCACTTAAGACAAAGATCTGCAAAGGTCAAATGACAATGCTGAAAACCATTTCACATTTCTTGATGGCATGTTTTAAGTCAATATTATTGATTGGTTCATGTGATGTTTGAATTGATGCACTATTAATAGGATGTTCAAACCAAGCAGCATTCTTTTATTAGTGCTATGGATACTTAGCAGATGCAACAAGTTAATAGATTTCCTGTCATATAATTTTATTCAATTAAATATGCATTTTATCTAGAATCTCATCACCATCCCTCGAAAGGACTTATATTACTTGTTACTACCAATCTTTATACTTTCAAAATAAGGTTTACGAGCAGTTTGGAAGCAAACACTGTGGATTGACTTTTCCAGTTGTTTAATATAAACACTAAATATTTTGAATTATGGAGGAATTCGGTAAATATTTTTGTGCATCATAAAAATATGAAATAAATCAAAGCAAATTTCTAGATAAAATTTGTTAAAGTTTCATTATCACACCAATATGTTTTAGCAAAATGTTTCAATTAATTAACATCTAAATCGCTGTTTCAACTGGCAAATAAGGGGACCTTATTGATATTTAGCTGGGTCTAAGAATACTTTTTACTTCTGTAATTCCTTCAGTTTGGGGTCTCAAAATGAATTGAGAACAATTAAAGTTTTATTTTTGCACTTTACTTGAAACCTGTTAAACAAATTCTAACAGTAAGTTCATTGCAAAAGATGGTTAAGATCAACTATTAAACACTGACATTTGACCTTTAAACACATTACAAATTAGGACAAAAGATTATACATTGTGTATTAAGACATTACAGTATGTTTTTGTCGCAGCAATGGTATGTAAACAATGGCATACTAACATGATTATCTCCAGTAAAGTCTTCCTTTACTTTTGTTATGTCCAACATCTTAATTTGATGATTTAATTCCTGAGAGAAATTTTATCTTTTTACAATCATTTGAAATACTATCTTTTTACAAGGAAAAAACTCAATTTATGAATATTAATCTACCCTGAAGTCCGAATTAAAAGCTATTAAATTTGTGCAGTATGGTATCTTGTGTAAAGGTATGACCTCCATTTCTTGTAACAACATCATCCAAAGATAACCTTTCAACTTAATGGCAATTAATGCTGTATCAAGGATATCTATATCAGTTCATAATCAGAAACCATCAGGTTCCACATGTTCCCAGTCCTATCTCTAGTAGCACCTTTCTCATCCCCTCCATTTTCTAATTGGTTATGCTGTTTGCCTGACATCCAATCCTGAATGAGCAAAAATTTTATCTGATTAAATATTGAGAATAATTAAACCATTATCTTTGGTATCTTAGAACAAACTCCGTCCCCTACCATCAACTTCATCCCTCTCCCTGGACTGAGATTAAGATGGACCTTTGCAACTTAGAATCAGAAATGATGGCAAAGGTGAACTTCTGATCACATAAACACTGCACGATCAAGATTGCCTACTTACGTCTCTGTAACATTGTCCATTTCCAGTGCACAACACATTTGTCGCCGACACTGTTAGTCAGTCTTTGCTACCTCAGCACTTGACTATTCCAATGTTCTCTTGGCTGGCTCCCTATCTCCATCCTCCATAAACTTGAACACATCCAAAACTCTGTTTACTATACCTGAAGTCATGCATTAGCCTTGTACAGACTGACTTAGATTAACTCTTGGCCTAACAGTGCCTTGATTTTAAAATTTTCTTAGTGAGTTCAAACCCCTTCACAGTCTTTTTTCATTTTTTCTGTAACGTTCTCCAGCATACAACCTTTTAAGAGTCTGCACTCGGATTCTAGAAGTTTTCACATCCCCCATTCCTATTATTCCACCATTGATCAGTGTGTTTTCAACTTCCTAAGCCTTAGGGTCTTGAATTCCTCCTGTTGTCTGTACTTTGGACAGTTCAACCAGTTTAAGTATTAAAAACATGTCCAAGTATTCATTGGTGAGGCAAACAGAAGGACACAGAACTTGGTTTATAGCTCAATTTGATTTTAGTAACAAAATATTCCTTATTAAAAACACCAGGTGAGCATTTCCGAAATTCTTACAACAGTTACTCATTATACAGATCTGTCTGATAGAGTATATTACCCACAATTATCAGCGTATTTCAGCTAGGCCATTAGAATCTCTTTCCGACGTAGGCTGGCTCTCATCCGTTAAGGTGAGGCCTCCAGGTCAAAGTGGTTCTTCTGCTGGATCTTCTTGGGTTGCCATATGGCCTTCTGCCACAAGTCTTGCTGATGGGGTGGCTTCCAGGCATGTGTTTTGTCTCCCCTCACCCCAGACCTTTCTGAATATTCTGTGGCCTTTGGTCAATGGGGTCTGACTGGAGTGCAAAGTATCCAATGAGATTGTGCCAATACCCTTCACTTGTTGCCATGTCGAAAAAATGTAGAGTGCACATCCTAAGGCATTGGCAGGAAGTCAAGGCGCCAGCAAGTCTGGTGGATACTTCTCCAATACACAACCCTCCAGGTGAATGTAACTGGTTCCCCTCCAACGTTTGTGACCTCTTTGACCTTGGTTTCCACTGTTCTCTGAAGCTGATGGCTGCTGTTTGCTGCTTTTTCAGTGTGCTCAATTTTCTGACAGGTCTGATGTTGTTCAATTAAGAATGTCCAATTTTGGGCTGGTAGTCACTTGACTACACTCCATGCCTTGCTTTATTCTCTTTCGGATGTTTGTTTATCTATCTACATGTCTTACACACACCTTTTGTGGCTGGTTTCAAAATGTATTTTTTTACATTCCTGTAAAGCTCATATTCGAAAAACATTTCTGTTAGTTCAAATATCGCTATGGTCTTACTGCATCTCACTGCATCATTCAAGACTCCACTTCCATTTATTGGGCAAACTTAATTCCAATCTCCATTTTAGTTTTAAATGCTTAAAGCTCTATCAAAAATACAGTTAAGTGAATTGAGGTCAAAACTACATAATACAGGCAGTTAACAGCTTTACCAAGAATTATAATGATTGAAAGGTGATCAGCAAGTGGAGTTTTATTCTGTTTGATCAAACTGTTTCTATTCAATTCTTAGTTTTAATAGAAATTTAGAAAACATTATTTCTAATTTTTTTAATTTAATAAACATTTATAAAAAGTTAGTCAAAACTGAACTAAGAGTTTACAAATTAATTTGCTTTATTTTAAACTAACATGTTTTATGACTACATTTACAAAACTGAAAAAAGACACATTTTACAAAACTGGAGAAAAACAATCAGATCTGTTGCTCCTTTCACTTAAGAATTTCTATATATAAAGATTCTTAAAGTTTTGTAATTAAAATGTGCCTGTTATTAATTCAAATATTTCTGCTGTACTGTAACTAAAAAAGTATGGTTCTGTGTGTTTGAGTATCACTATCAAGGTCAGCATTCCTAATTGCAACTGAATTGCCTCCACTGTCTTGAACTGTTGCAGTTCATGTGCTGAGGGAGAAAGTTCCAGGTTTTCAAATTAGCAACAGTGAACGAACTGTCATATATTCCAAGTCAGGATGATGTGCAACTTGAAAGAAAGCTTGCAAGTGATGGAGCTCCCTGCATCTGCTGTCTTTGTTCCTTCAGGCGATAGAGGTCATGGGTTTGGAAGCTGCCGTCAAAGGATCCTTACTAAGTTGCTGCAGTGCACTTTGTAGATACCACAGTGCATCATTAGTTGAGGGAGGGATATTTAAGGTATTGGATGGGGTGCCGATAGTCTGGGTTGCTTTCTCCTGGATGGTGTTGAGCTTAGGTATTGTTGGAGTTGTATTCATTTAAACAAATGGAGGTTTCCAATTACAATCCTGACTTTTGCTCTGTTGCTGATTGGTAGGCTTTGTGAATTCAGAAAATGAGTCACTTGCCACAGATTAAATGTTGTAGCCGTAATATTCATAAGATTGCCGCAGCTAAATTCCTGGTTAATGGTGCCATCATATCAAGGTTGGTCACTTTCTTTCACCTCTGGAATTGAGCTCTCTGCCCAGATTTAAACCAATGCGGTAATGAGATGGAGCTAAATAAGTGGCCCTGGTGGAACCCAAACAGAGCACAAGTGAGCAGCATCAGTGAATATGTGCCACTTGATAGCATTGTTGGCTATACCTTCCATTGTTTTGCTGATGATTGAGTGTATATTAATAGGGATGCAATTGGCTGGATCAAAATAGTCCTTCGTGGACAAGGTATACAGGACAATTTTCCACATTGTCTGATAGATGCCAAAGTCCCAGCTATACCTTAGTTAAGGGCCTGGTTAGTTCTGGAGCACAAGTCTTTAATAATACATCCTGGATGTTGCAAGAGACTGTAACCTGTGCTGTGTCTAGTGTCAACTATTTCCCTATCATGTTGAGTGAGTGAATTGAGTTGGATAAAGATGGCCATCTGTGGTCTTGGTGACCTCAGGGCGAAGCAGAGATGGATTTAGAATTAGTCTTGTGTTAGTTTTACAAGATTAGCATCTTATTTTTTTCAGGTATGCTCAGGAGAACACGACAAAAACAGTACTATGTTCTTCACTGACTGATTGACCCCCTATTTTAATGGTAATGGGAGAACAAGGAAAATTCTGGATCATGAGGTTAATGGTGCCCAATTTTGAGCTGCACAATCTATTCCAAATCTGTTCCATTTAACATGGTTGTAACAGATGGCTTCAACGTTAAAATGTGACTTCATTTCCATACTGACTATGAGGTACTCCTAGTACTGTCAAGGAAAGTTGCATCTGTGACAGGTAGACTGGTGAGGGTGAGGACCAGTAAGTAATTCCCTCTGGTTTGTTCCCTCACTACTTGCCACAGGCAGCTATCTCTATCAGGTCAAGGCCATACAGCAGAGTAGTAATGCAACCAAACCACTCTTCGCAATTTCATTTGAAGACTGCCACCCACTACATTCTGTGGCATTGCTTCCCTCAGTTCAGCATGGAGCAGCACTGATTTATCATTTGAGGGAGGGCAGTGGGAGCCAATTAACCAGTTTTCTTACCCATGTTTTCTCATGGTATGAGGTGAAACATGAAATCTCAACTGTTCTGGAACCAATTAGACACCCTTTCACACAAGATCTGATTCAACCACTCAAACTGCCTGAATCTGAACATCTCCCATTCCCTAGAACCCCTTTGGGCATCTAATGCTTTGACCTTGGATTCAACACCACACTCCCCGATTTGACACCCAATCCTACAATCCATACTGACTTGAACTATCGACTCAATGCCTTCTGATCACCAAGACCATCCCCCTGACCTGACCATTCCCCAGAGCTACCCCTAAGCACTCACCCACCACTCTATCCTCATCTACCAGGCATCTTGCCTCCTCACTAACCATATACTCCACCCCCACCCACCTTAAATCCTGACAAGCAATTGATACCCCAATTACTCAGCCACCTGGCACCCTTCCCCAACACTCATTTACGTTACATATTTGCCTTCTCTTTGCTCTTGTCAGGACCTTTTAATCTTGGAATACAGCAGTTAGTATTAAAAAAGGGCTGTGCAGGGTTTCAATGCCAGTATATGCCATTGGTTTTGTGGATTCCTGGTCTAGCTAGACTGAACCAGTTGAGAAGACTCCTGAGTCAAATGTTCATACATAAATTTCTTCAAATGTAGTGCATTCCGTGTCCAATACAGGTTGAAAAAAAGCCTTCCAACTCTGATTGGAAGATCTGGGCCATGAGGTAACAAAACAAAAAACTACATGGCTGCTTAGCTGAGTATCCTCCATTACTCACAGCTTAAGCAAAACTATGTTATCAAATGTTAATGATGTAAGGCTGCAGTGAAAATGAATTGTGCCAAGTCCAGCCAAAGTAACAAGATGCTCTGTCATTTTGTTGACTTATTGGTGAATTTCTGCAGGTCACCTCTAAAGGGTGGACTAATTGACATGCAATGTATGTCCACGGATTCACAGGACTCAGAGATTTAACTCAATCTATGGATTAAACACTCAAATTAAAGCAAAGTACTGCAGATGCTGGAAATCTGAAATAAAAACACAAACTGCAGAAGAAGAGGTCCTAAGAAATGTCATACTGGACTCAAAATGTTAACTGTTGCCTGTCTGTTCAGATGCTGCTGCACCTGCTGAGTTGCTCTTTCTGTTTTTTATTTCATGATCTGTGGATTGGCTTGTAGCTGTACAAAGCAACATTTATGGAACTGCCAACAACATGCAAATTGTCCCAAACACATCTTCATTTTTTTTTGTTTTTTGTTCACAAAAATATCTGCCTTTCCAGTCACTGGACTTTTAACCTTTGCTGTCTGAATAATGCATCTGAAAACTTTTTCCTAAATTATTATTACACCATTTTTAAAAAATGACATTAATTAAATAAGTGGTGCAATACCTCTGTTAAACAGCAAAAAATAATGATTTGGACATCTTGAATATTATTTTTAGTCCTTAAAGTATTGAAGTAATAAATTGATATTAGCAATCTTGCTTTCCACTGACAGCAGAGTAATCCAGCAGTGGGGTTTACTGGGGCAACATGGTGGTTTAGTGGTAAGCACTGCTGCCTCACAGCACTAGGGACCTGGGTTCAATTCCACCCTTGGGCAACTGCCTGTAAGGAGTTTGCATATTTTCCCTGTGTCTGCATGGGTTTCCTTTGGGTGCTCTGGTTTCTTCCCACAGTCCAAAGATGTGCAAGTTTGGTGGGTTGGCCATGCTAAATTACCTATAGTGATCAGGGATGTGTAGGTTAGGTGCATTAGCCATGGAAAATACAGGGATACTGTAGGGGCTGGGTCTGGGTGGGATGCTGTTTGGAGGGTTAGTGTGGACTTTTTGGAGTGAATGGCCTGTTTCCACGCTGTGGGATTCTATTTCTATTCAAATATCCTTCAGCGGGATCTGGTAATATTAACATTTAGTTAAGAAATTATTTTCTTGTTATTTAAATGCCAGTTGTTGAAATATGTATAAATGCACTTCCGGAATGCATGAATTCATGGTGGACTTTCCATTTGGCAGCAATCAAATAAGTCTATTCAAAGCGAGTGCTAGTTTGGATGGAAAGCTATACTCATAAGCTTAGTAAGATTGCAATATATTTTGATACAAATATTGAAAAACTAGAAACTTATCATTCCAATTATCAGAAATATATTTGCACAATCAGGAAATGACTGTGTGGAAGTTGCTGATATCTCAACAATTTCTGCTTGCATCTACTTGCAGCCAACTATTTCCCATGAATACCTTACCTTATTAGGGCTTCTTGTATTTATTTGGTGAACATGAGACAAGATATTAAAAAGATTGCATAGCCTAATTAACTAACTGAAGTCTGCAAGTCAGAACTTTCTCAAGAGCAGACTAACAGCATCGTCAATGAAAGGTTGCCTTGATGAATAAATATTAGTTATATATAGATTTGCTTAACGTAATAAATTAATCCAAACTCTACAAAATTGGTGGCAGTTAACAGTGTAATATCTTCAAAAAGCATAATAGTTACAGCTTTTTCTGTGGCATAACTGCATAGAACATAGTTGTTTCCTTTACAAATCACCAATGTTGGCATTTATGGAAATCTAGTTACTTCCTAAATAAATTTAATGTAATGCATTAAACAAGCAAATACATAAATTCTTGGATTCCCTTATTGTTTTAGATTGTAAACATTTTACTCAAATTACAAATATAAATCCCACCGTTATGGTCTTGATGAATATATCAATGCATGTTGAAATAAGGGACTGATTCAACCAAAGAAAGGTCAAAGTAGAAACACAGAAAAATCAATAACAGCAATTTAAGTAATTCTTGTGCTTATTTTGCTCCAGTATATTTGTTTCCAGAATGGAGCTTTTTAATATCCATTAATGTGGTCAGCGCTAGTGAGCTTTCACAATAATTAGTTACTATAGCTGTTAAAATTATCTAAATAGTACAGAATGTGCAATAAAAATGAATTATAACAATAAGACTGTTGAGGCTAACATGCATCTAGCAGAAAAACAGATCAATTGAAACTGTGCTTACCCTGAGATGACTGAGACAGGATAAACGTTTTAATAAGGGTGTCAGTGGCCTGCGTGTACAGTGACAGAGCATACCGTAGAGACTGCAGATCTGGGCTCTTTTCTAAAAAGGTCTTCTTCAGGCCAACTCCGCCAGCATGGAAATATTGCTAAATCATTTAAGACCTCAGTCAACTCAATGAATCTTACAGAATATCACAAACCTAAAAATTCATATGATACATCAAACCAAACTAAGGACAATCATTCTTTTTTGTCAACATGGCAATTATCCATATTACAAAGGTTAGCTGACATTGTAATGATGAAAATGAAGTCAATCACAACATTTCAGAAAGATTAGATAAACACAAATATTGTTTAAAATACGAGAGAAATAAAATTACTGTAAACAACTGCAGTGTGGATTTGAACCGCAACAAACCAAATGGTTCAAATGGATGCCTTTGCAGCTATTATAATTTGAAATGCTCTTTTTAATTCTCCATCTCAATCCGTTATGCTTTCTCTTTGGACCCCACTTCCAACTATTCTCCCTAATCTCTCCCTCCACAAACTCTCTTGGCCATATTCACAGCTACTCTATCTTGATCCCAAGACTTACGTAGGGATGCTAATCTTATTGTGCCAATCACGAATAAAACCAGCTCTGATTACTTACTCACATAGAAAATCGGAGCAGGTGTAGGCCATTCAGGCCTTCAAGCCTGCTCTGGCATTTAATATGATCATGGCCCCGTTCCCACTTTTTCCCCAATACCCTTTGATCCCTTTATCCCTAAGAACTATACCTAACTCTTTCTTAAACATTCCGTGCTTTGGCCTCAACACTTCAATGACGGATAATTCCACAGGGTCACCAATCTCTGGGTGAAGAAATTTTTCCTTATCTCAGTCCTAAAAGACCCACCCCATATACTTAGACTCTGATCCCTGGTTCTGGACTACCCAGTCATTGGGAATATTTTTTCTGTGTTTACCCTGCCTAGTCCTGTTGGAATTTTGCAGGTTTCTATGAGATCCCCCCTTTTAAACTCCAGTGAATATAGTCTTAACCAACCTAGACTTTCTTCATACATCAGTCCTGCCATCCCAGGAATCAGTCACATAAGCCATCATTGCATGTCCTCCATATGCAGACCATCCTTCCTCAGACATAGAGACCAAAACTGAACACAACACTCCAGGTGCGGTCTCACCAAGGCCCCATACAAGGTCCATTACATCTTTATACACCATATTCCTCCTTCCTCTTCTCAACCTTATGTCACCTAGGTTCATTCTGGAACAAAAGAAACCTTTTCCAATTCACCCACATCTGCATTTTCAAAATCCCAGTTACCTACTCTTTGGCCCTCTGTTCATCACTGATGCCCTAGTTCCCATTTAAACAATTTCGTCTCTGCTCCCTTAAATCCAAGAATGGAAATTTGAAAGTTTCTGGCAACAATAGGTTTAGCCAGTCATTAGTAAGTGTGTTTGGACCACATTAAACATCATCAGGTCCTTCTTTCATCTCGCAAAACTGCTCACCCAGAGTCACTGTGAATAGCAAAATTAACTTTGCCTTCTCTTCATTACAAACTGTCTTGTTAATTTTCTTAAAGTATCACAAGACCTTACCTCCGAGACCTTATCACTAAGATTGCTACAATCGCTGTGAAATTCTTTCCCCAAACCCTTCCAGTTCTCTTTCATTCTTTTAAGATGCTCTTTAAATCTTACCTCTTTGACTAACTCTTCCCTAACATTGGTTTGAGGTTTGGTGACAAATTTACTTAACAGTTCACCTGTGATGCTCTTTGGCATCTTTTACTGTGTTTACAGTGCTATACAAATGCAGGTTATCGTCATTTCAAAGCAAATGAATGTCATAAATATGAGACGTTAGATAGAAATGCTACTTCCAGGAGCTGAGACACCAAGAAGAAAGGGTCATAGGCATCAGACTAAATGTTGGAGATTTAGAGCAGTCAGAAGTAACTTCTCCACAGGATTGAGAAATACTGAAATTCAATTCCAGGATTAAAACTGAGGTAGAACCATGGTAACATTTAGAGGTAGGTTGGAAAAATGGATGACAGAAA